TTTAAATATTGCACTCTTAACATTAGACACCTCTGCACATTTATTTTCATATGTCATGCTGAAATATGAACTTGACCCCAAAATTCATTAGACACATCTGCATCAATATGGCAAAGTTCAATTGTATAGAACAAAAAAATACTTCTGTTACATGTATATTGATGCAGTGACATAGCAATTTATTCACAAATGCAATCTTTTATATTTTGGCCCCTGACCCATATGAAGCAGTGTAATCAATGGAGGATTGTCTAAAATAAGCATGCATTTTACTTGTCATTAGTAAATGTTAGTGATTAATTAAAAACTTTTGTTTTAACAAGAAACAATAAGACAGGTAATTAAGTGGCTTCATTTAAAGTAAAATGTAGTTAATAATACTAGTAAATAGCAGAAATTATACAAAACTAACTATGGTAGTTTAAAGTATATCAAAAGTTTTGATTACACTGCTTTGTATGCTCAAGAATGAAACATATTTGAGCATGACATATGTTATGAAATACTTTTCATTTTGGATAAATGCACTCATGCTAATTGAAAGTAAACTACACAAGTAGCTATTGACAATTGTTGCTTATATTCATATACATGTAATCTGAAATAATTTAAAATAAAGAAAGGGAGGAAAGAGATTGGCTAATTTAGGGAACAGGAGGCCAGGATATAAAAAAATATGTTTATTGCTCTAAAGATTGTAAAAACTTGACGCTGTTATTGGTCAGGGAAAAATGGTCTTGGTCAGGGAAAAGTCATGGAAAAGTCAGTGAATTTTGATTTCTCTTCTTTTTGGGAACCCTGTCTTTGGTCTCCGACTGATTCTTGGACGATCGCAGACTTTCAGGAATTTTTGGTGTTAATGCAGATAATGACATTTGTGAATTTATAGGACCATCCAGTGTCCATTTCGTTGGTCTGCGAATGTTTCTGGAACACTCGCAGACTTTCAGAAATTTTCGGTGCCAATGGAGATAATGACATTTTTACTTCAAAAGGACCCTCCTGAGTCTATTTCGTTGGTCTGCGACTGATTCTGAGTCACTCGCAGACTTTCAGGAATTTTGGTGTCAATGCAGAAAATGATATTTCTGACTTATTGGGACCTTTCTGAATCCATTTTTTTGGTCTGCGACTGATTCTGAGGCACTCACAGACTTTCAGGATTTTTTTATGTCAAGGCAGATAATGACATTTTTTACTTCTAAGGACCATCCAAAGTCCATTTTTTTGGTCTGCGACTTAATCTTGGACAGTCACAGACTTTCAGGAGTTGTTGGTGCCAATAGAGATAATTACAATTTATGACATTTTTGACCATCCAGAGTCTTTTTCGTTGGTCTGCGACTGATTATAGGGCACTTGCAGACTTTCAGGAATTTTTGGTGCTAATGCAGATAATGACATTTTAGGGTAAAAATGCTCTGCTTATGACTAAGGGGTCCTTAAAAGTAAAAAAGTCATGATCTCCATTGGCATCAAATTTCCTGAAAGTCTGCAAGTGTCCCAAAATCAGTCGCAGACCAGCGAAATGAACTCTGGGGGGTCGCTAGAAGTCAAAAATGTCATTATCTCCATTGGCACCAGAGATTCCTGAAAGTCTGCGAATGTCCCAGATTCAGTCACAGACCATAAAAATGGACTCTGGCGGGTCCCTAGAAGTAAAAGTTGCCCTCATCTCTACTGGCACCAAACGTTCCTGAAAGTCTGCGAGTGTCCAACAATACGCTGCAGGCCAATGAAATGGACTCTTAAAGGTCCCTAGAAGTCAAAAATATGAATATTTCCATTGGCACCAACCATTCCTGAAAGTCTGCGAGTGTCCAAGAATCAATCGCAGACGACCAAAATGGACTCTTGAGGGTCCCTAGAAGTCTTAATTGTCAATACCAGCATTGGCACCAAAATTCCTGAAAGTCTGCGAGTGTCCTTCCACCAGAGCATTTTTACACTTTATTTAGGAATGCCCTGCTAGATTGCCTAGCCAGCTTAGCATGCCAGCAGAGCATTTTTACACTATATTTAGTAATGTCCTGCTAGATTGCCTAGCCAGCTTAGCATTCCAGCAGAGCATTTTTACACTATATTTAGTAATGCTCTGCTAGATTGCCTAGCCAGCTTAGCATTCCAGCAGAGCATTTTTACACTATATTTAGTAATGCCCTGCTAGATTGCCTAGCCAGCTTAGCTAGCCAGCTGAGCATTCCAGCAGAGCATTTTAACACTATATTTAGTAATGCACTGCTAGATTGCCTAGCCAGCTGAGCGTTCCAGCAGAGCATTTTTTCACTAAAGCTAGGAATGCTCTGCTAGATTGCCAAGACAGCTGAGTATTGCAGCAGAGCATTTTTACACTATATTTAGGAATGCCCTGCTAGATGCCCAAAACAGCTGAGCATTACAGCAGATCATTACCTTCCCTTTATAAATTGAAATGCCTTTTTGCTTAGCTCACTGTTCACTGCTAACTTCTCACATACATATCTATTATAATTATTTCATTAAAGTAGAATAATAAAGAACTGCGACCTCAAGTTTTGCATGTGACATTATTCAAGTATTAGGCAAGGGAGAGTTACGGTTCTTATGCATCGCACAACTTCTCAAAGAGATCTTTCTACCTGCAAAGTTTCAGGTTGACATCTCTTATAGTTTTAGAGTTATGTCCCTGAAAATATTCAAAGTGTGAAAATTAACAAAGGGCAATAATTCAAAAAATTAGACAAGGCAGAGTTACGTTTTTTGTGCACTGCACACCTACTCAATGAAATCTATCTACCTACAAAGGTCGATGTTGATACCTCTTGTTGTTTCAAAGTTATGTCCCGGACAAGAAAAGCGGACGGACGGACGGACGGACAAAGCGGCGACTATATGCTCACCCTTTGGGGAGCATAAAAATAAACATTTACATTGTGTATTTTGGTGTTTATTAAGATTGTAGATTTCTGAAAAAAGATTTATAACCTCTGATTTTATCTGCATGTATGGTTCGTTGTTTTGTCAAAGTTTAGGCTACTTGAAATCTAAATTAGGACTGCTATGCATGTTAATGCTATTATATCTTCTCGAGATATAAAGTATTTAAAATTTGATCATAAATGACTGCATAGATAATAGAGCATGACCTTGAAATTATTTTTATACCCCCACAAACGAAGTTTAGGGGGGGTATATAGGAGTCAGCTTGTCGGTCGGTCGGTCGGTCGGTTGGTCGGTCGGTCGGTCGGTCCGTCCGTCCGTCGGTCGGTCCACATCATGGTTTCCGGACGATAACTAGAGTTTGGAATGAGGTATTGTAATCAAACTTGGTATATAGCAACCTTATGTGGAAACTCTGGTTGGTATTGCATTTGGACCCCCTGGGGTCAAGGTCAAGGTCACCGTTACTAAAAATAGAAAAATGGTTTCCGGACAATAATTAGAGTTAGGAGTGAGATATTGTTATCAAACTTTGCGTATAGCAAGCTTATATGAAGATCTGGGTTGGTATTGCATTTAGTCCCCCTGGGGTCAAGGTCAAGGTCATGGTTACTAAAAATAGAAAAACGGTTTCCGGACAATAACTTGAGTTAGGAATGAGATATTGTAATCAAACTTGGTGTATAGCAAGCTTATATGAAGACCTGGGTTGGTATTGCATTTGGACCCCCTGGGGTCAAGGTCACCGTTACTAAAAATACAAAAATAGTTTTCGGACAATAACTAGAGTTAGGAATGAGATATTGTTATCAAACTTGTTGTTTAGCAAGCTTATATGTAGACCTGGGTTGGTATTGCATTTGGACCCCCTGGGGTCAAGGTCAAGGTCACCATTACTAAAAATAGAAAAATGGTTTCCGGACAATAACTTGAGTTAAGAATGAGATATTGTAATCAAACTTGGTGTATAGCAAGCTTATATGAAGACCTTGGTTGGTATTGCATTTGGACCCCCTGAGGTCAAGGTCAAGGTGGTTTCCGGACAATAACTAGAGTTAGGAATGAGATATTGTAATCAAACTTTGTGAAAAGCAAGCTTATTTGGAGACCCTGGTTGGGATTACAATTAATGGAAATATTTCTTTGTACACAGTTGATAGTATGTGTTGAAATTTTTCTTCAGACTACTTATTTTTCAAAAAGTACCTGGGTTGGTATTGCATTTAGGCCCCCTGGGGTCAAGGTCAAGATCATGGTTACTAAAAATAGAAAAACGGTTTCCGGACAATAACTTGAGTTAGGAATGAGATATTGTAATCAAACTTGGTGTATAGCAAGCTTATATGAAGACCTGGGTTGGTATTGCATTTGGACCCCCTGGGGTCAAGGTCAAGGTCACCGTTACTAAAAATACAAAAATAGTTTTCGGACAATAACTAGAGTTAGGAATGAGATATTGTTATCAAACTTGTTGTTTAGCAAGCTTATATGTAGACCTGGTTGGTATTGCTTTTGGACCTCCTGTGGCCAAGGTCAAGGTCACTTCTGCTAAATATAGAAAAACGGTTTCCGGACTATAACTGGGGTTTAGAATGAGATATTGTAATCAAATTTGGTATATATCAAGCTTATGTAAAGACCCCGGTGGTATTACTTTTGGACCCCCTGGGGTCAAGGTCACTGTTACTGAAAAATAAAAATAAAAATTGTTTTCGGACAATAACTGGAGTTAGGAATGAGATATTGTAATCAAACTTTGTGAAAAGCAAGCTTATTTGGAGACCCTGGTTGGGATTACAATTAATGGAAATATTTCTTTGTACACAGTTGATAGTATGTGTTGAAATTTTTCTTCAGACTACTTATTTTTCAAAAAGTTGCTGGTGGGGGTATTAATCACCTTCAGTGATAGGTCTAGTTAATTCTGATAAGTCATCCTCTTCATTCACGTAAAAATGGTTAAGCTTAGATGGTAAGGTAAATGTTGAGGGAAAAAATTAACGGCCGCTAAGAACCCCCAAAACAAAATTTAACAAGCAAAACTATCTTCTTAGATTATAAAACTGTCACATGACATTGAAGTTTGTCTGTAATCTAAATCATTTTTTTTATCTTACAGGAGAGAGACTTATGGATAACAACATGAAGGCGTTTGAATGTATACTGTGCAAAAAAGTCTTTGCCAACAAACATCGTGCGGCCCGACACTTCTTAATACACACTGGAGAAAAACCATTCCAGTGTAATATCTGCGAGAAAAGATTTAACCAAAAGGAGACGCTGAAAACACATATGGGGTTACACTTGAGGAAACAGAATTTGTTATGATTTTATTTTATTTAAACTTTTGTCCAATCCTACACACTCACGACTGACGGCTAAGTTATCTGTGATGTAAGTGGTTTTCTACAAAAAGATATGAGCCGTGTCACGACAAAACCAACATGATGCGTTTGCGACCAGCATGGATCCAGATCAGCCTGCGCATCCGCGCAATCTGATCAGGATCCATGCTGTTCGCTAGCCAACCCTATAGCAAGTAGAATAACTGATAGCGAACAGCATGGATCCTGATCAGACTGCGCGGATGCGCATGCTGGTCTGGATCCTTGCTGGGCGCAAACGCATTATGTTGGTTTTGTAGTGACACGGCTCATATAGTCTATAAATCGTGTCGCATTGCCTATGGGCTCAAAATTGGATCTGTCTTCAGCTTTTTGTATCATATCCTTATTTTATATTATATAGATATATAAAATATATTCTCTGAAACTAAAAGGCGGGCATGTTCTTAGAGCTTTAATAGTATCTAACATTTCATAGTGGCCCTTTACATAGTTCTATCTTTATAATGCCCATGGAATTAAAATTGGCCCCATCCATGTGATTGTCGTCAATATTAGTGTTGCATAAACATATGTATTGAAATTTACATAAATTTTTGTATAAATTTTAAAACATAAATTTGCGTAAAACCTTAAGTTATCACTATTGGCAAATTCGTTCAGTACTAATGATATATTTTATGTTTTATTGTCAAAAAAATCTAAAGTTGAAAGCACTTGGAGACTAGAAGAGGTCTATCATAGCGTAATTAAATAAATGTACAAAAATCGACCAAACAATGTATGCATGTCTTTTTTTCTTTACCAATATAGTATATTTTGACATGTCAGCGTCTATGAACTATTTTCTCGATGGTCGTCAAGATGAAGCATTATTTACTAGTATAATTTATATTTCATAACCTGTCGTCTGATTGAAATCAAAGACAACAATTAGAAATAGGGCTATCGTTGATATTATTCTTAAAGAGGATTGATCTACAATGGCCACAATATCCACAAAATCAGTGTTTAATCGCACATAACATGTAAATTATTTGTTGAATCTTTTTCTTTTTTATTAAAATCTTAGTAAATTTTTCTCAAGTTTCATTTTCTTGAAATATTGTGGCTTACCTGTAGGCATGTAGTTTATTTCAAGAATGTACTAATTTGAGAAAAAAAATATATGTTGATTTCCTGTTTTGTACATATATACAAATTACATATGCAAGCTTGTCTTGATTCTTGTTGTACTCGTACATCCGGTTGTTGTCTGAATGCTTTATAATTCAGAGTATTCGAATTATTATAATCCTTACTTAAAAAGTCATAGGCCTTGACCATTAAAAAAAATTAAGTAACCAGTAGGATCATTTTTTTTATTTAGTGTAGTAGTTTGTCATATCTAGTAGATGACCTCTATTGATTTGGAAAGGTCAAGGTATAAGGCATCGACGATATATGTAGTGCACACATTTTGGGTTTTTCTTTATTGTTTGCTTAAATTTATTATTTTTTTGAGAGATGAAAACACATAAATCTATAACACAGTTGTATTTTGACTGGTATTAATTCATGTATGCTTTCAGTGAATTTTGTATTCTGTTAGCTGGCTGAAAAAATGATATGCGATTAAAATGCTAATGTTCAGTGTCTATTCTAGGATTCAAAAACAGGGGGGATTTTTATGGAAAAGTGAGAATTTATTGCATTTGTTGATCTTTTTTCCTTCTTTCTGTATGTAAAACTTCCCCCTGCCTCTGAAAAAATAGGGGGGGGGGATTCTCAAAAATATGAGTGAATCCCCCAATCCCCCCTCCTAGAATAGACGCTGAATGTTTGAGTCTAGTTTTATTGTAATAAAAATATTTCCAATAACTTATTGTGTTGCTTGGACAATCTCTATCAAGTCAGAATATTGGAATAAACATTTTTCATGTTCACTGACCAGTATTACGAGTGGCGGATTATGTCTAACAAGTCAAGTCGAAAGAATAATTCAGTAAATATAGGCCACCGGCCCAAAAAACATATCATACAAAATGTGATATTTAACATTATAAGGTTCTGTCGTTTAAAAGTTTTGACACATTCTTATTACATTTAATTACTACTATGATATACAGATCATGAGGTGCATGGTAAATATAAGTAGAGATTTTCTGAATTATAAAATTATCATTTGATGAAAGTAATTCATAAATGTTATGTAATTCAGTTCCGGAATTATACCAGTTTAGTAAATAGGTATTTCAAATTTCTAAATATTTGTTACAATGAAAAAAAGCATGATATTCACAGTCAATGTGATAAGTTTAATGATTTTCGAGACAAAGTTGCAAAATCGGTCTTGAAAAGGTATATTTAAATGCCTACCGATTTCAACATTAAGTTTGTGATTTGAACATCGAATTTTAGCATATGTTTTACAAGGATTTCTATTAGAAGAAGGCTTCTACATTTAATAAGCTTTTATAGTAACAATAATGGTGACATCTACTGGCATTGTTAACATTATCAATATGTTATGCGTAATTCAAAACTGAAAACAAAAATATTCACAACTCATATTTCTTAAGAAATCCAGATGTAACCAAATCCAGAAGTATTAATATTTTGCTAGTCCAACAAGTTCTACCAGCTTCATCTTGTGATTTTAACATTAAATAACATTGATTTGGATAACGGCATGGTGGCATAACTAATAGTTTACACCAATATCGGATGTAATTTGTATAATAAGTAAGTAGTAGTAATACAAAGTGGGAGTCTACCACATTCACCTAACACCATGCTTGTATTTGTATTGTTTCGAACATTTAATAAACCCTTACAGAACATATTATGAACAGATTCTAAAGTTGGACAAAATTCATACCCCCACATCTGTGATACAAAACAAACAATAGGTTTGATCATTATATCAAAAATTTTGAGTATTCCTTTATGGGAAAATTACCAAATGGTTTTGCATAACCTTTGATGGCAAAATTTCTCTTTGGGCTTGTGAAGCTAATTTATCATGAGCTTCATTCCATGATAGTTGTGGAGTAAATAACAAACCCATATATTTATAAATAGCCGATGTATTCACAGGTTGACCGCGAAAAGACCAAGATTCATAATTACGAAGACAACCTCCATTTCGAAATACAATTATTTATTATCTCTTGTTTTGTCAAGACTAATTTCCATGCCTGTGTTCAAGCAAAATTGATCAATTACATTAAGTTGTTGTTGTAATTTTGTAGCAGTTTCAGCACAATTTGCAACATCATCAGCAAACATTATAAACAAAGAATATCAGGAATATCATTTGTTATGAAAATGCATGCGCCATATTTCTCTCTTAAAAGGGAAGATAACTAGTCTATAAATAATGTAAAAATTGTAAAGCAAACATTGTATATACATGGACATTTATCAATTTTGAAATAATGTGTCATTATAATATATTCCTTCCGCTAAGTATTTTTTCTCTTGGGGCAAGAGATATTTTGGCTGTATGAAAAAGGTTCATAAATATGACAGATAAACGTGCCCCCATCAAGCTCTACGTCTTCTATACAATGGACTAAATGTAAGAATGTCAATTTAACCAAAGTGATACAACTTATGTAAATGGATTTATACTTTGTATAGCGACCACAAAGTTATGTATATTTTACTTAACTATAGTACTGTAAAAAGTCACATGACCACTTTTCAGATTTAGAAGTAGTGGAAACCCTCAGTTGCCCCACTGTTTAGTTTCATCATCACTGTTTTGTTAAAAGATAGAGTAAATGCTTTATCAGATATTTAGCATTAGAAGAGGTATTTGAACATATTAGAAAACCACAGATCTTACTAAAACCAGTACGTCCATTTTGACAGTTCTTGGTCGAATCCTATCTGATAAGATTGTTGTGTTATTTTTAAATCGAATCAATGATTGACAACAATTGGTTGTTATGTGCACAACTTGGAAAAGACATTTGAGCCGCGTCATGACAAAACCAACATAATGCGTATGCGACCAGCATGGATCCAGACCAGACTGCGCATCCGCGCAGTCTGATCAGGATCCATGCTGTTCGCTATCAGTTTCTATACTTGTTATAGTGTTTGTAAGCGAACAGCATGGATCCTGATCAGACTGCGCGGATGCTGGTCGCAAACGCACTATGTTGGTTTTGTCGTGACGCGGCTCATTTCTTTAATTTCCTTTTAAAAGTTCATGTTGTAAGTTGTTTAATAGTTTTGACATTGACTACGCGTCACTTGTCCTTCGGAGGCACTGTGTGACTGGTCACATGTTTGTCCACTACTACACCAGAAAGAAACTTTACATTCATTGCTCAGTACTGGTTGTTTCTAGAAACAGATTTGAGAGTGGTTCAAAAGGCTTTCAACACAATCGAAGTAAAATAAATTCGTATTTAATAACTAACACTGCGGCTATTATTACTTACATTTCCCCCAGATTACACCTTGTGATATAGTGTTTTACGCCTTTGATGTGAAAAACTACAAAATGTATTTTATTTTTCTGGAATTTGCTAGAAATTGCTTGTTCCCATTGTCTTACATGATATTACTTTCAGCATTTGCTGTCCACATAGGTTTGGGGTGGTGACTCGTATTAAAAGGTATTTTCCTTTAATGTACAAAAAGCAAGTTTAATCGGCAACATATTCGTTCTATGAATTGCCATGGTAAGGCATGTAATTAAAGCTCCCATTGTCCAGGTTTTATGGGCGACTTGCCTTGTGACAGTATTGTAGTATTATTCTAACCATATTGGATCCAACTTTATATTAAATTTAGTGCCCCATTTTCTAAAACATTCTTCATTTTCAATTTCAGGCAAAATCATACAAGATGGCCGCCGTGTTTATCAATGTAGTCAATGTAGTAAGACTTTCAGTACTAAACAACGCGTAGAGAGACATTACCTTCTTCACACGGGAGAGAGACCGTTCCAATGCTCATTGTGCTACAGACGCTTTACACAAAAATGTCATCTGAAAACACATACTGTCATAATGCATGCTGGGAGCTTTGTTTTAGACAATTAAATATACACAATTTTAGATTAAAAAGAAGTACTATATTTTGTCTTGAGTTGAAGCTTTTATTATTTGGTACATAGTATAAGGCCATTTTCGACAGTTGAGTTAGATTCAAAAGCCAAGAAAGACAAAATGATAGAGCTTGAACTTTGATGTATGTGTGAGAAATAAAAAAAAAAACACATTGTATTTAGATCTAGAACGATGTTTGATTTATTGGCTAGAACATATATGAAATCCCTGTCACCATATACCACGTTTCCACTGCATTAGCACGGCGTTGTTAAATTTCAAAGATCGCAATCACAAGAAAAAATCTAAAAATTTTGTTCTAGATGGAAATTTTAAGGATTTCTCACGGCGATCAAGGCATTGCTGCGCTTATTTCGTTTGACTCGACTATTGTCTGCGGTCATGCGGCGCATACAATGCTCTCTACAGCGATCATGTCCTGCTTTTTCGTGGCGCTTATACATTACTGCGCTTGCGGCGTGTTATAGACGTTTATTTTAACTAAATATAAAACAGAGCAAGCATACAAATCTTCATTTTTGTAACGACAGTATGGTCGAACTTAAAGCCTTTCATGCCATTTTGCTCTACCCTATCGTTGTCAAAGAATTGCACTTCAACTGATAGTCGTGCGCCAGCTGCATCTGCCATATCAGAAAACGAATTTTTATTTTTATCATTGACACTATTTTTAACACACCGATAAGCGCGTAACACGCCGATAAGCGCTGTAGAATCGCCTTGAGAGCACAATTGTAGCAGTTCCGCGCATTTCGTTTGCTGCAAGGGCGCATACAGAGCTCCGTAAAAGTGCAATAGGCGCGCACTTTAAGCGCGATACGTATCGAAATATCAGAGAAATCCATACAATCTCAAGCCTCATAGAATCAGAGTTAACACTGCAACAAATGTGCTCTTTTACGTAGCTCTTTTGCATTGAATGAGAGTTTACTGTTTTTTTTGCGATGTTCTTAACGGCGACCCAAGTGCGTTATTACCAGAACGCCGACTTTTTGAGGATGCTCAAAGTGCATGCCGCCGGTTAGCGTTCTATGCGATGTCACTTTGTTGCTGCGCCGATGCTGTTGATCGTACGTTGCTATTCTTGGTGTTTTTGAATTTTTCCTGCACGTCAGGAGAACGCCACCGTGGTTTGAGAGGGGTTTCGAAAGTGTATATATATATATTGGTTAAATGTATTATTTAATTGTAATACAGGATTTTCTTTTAACAAAACGTACATCATTGCATGCAAGAGTATTACCGAGAGAGAAAAAAAGATACCCAATGTCAAGTTAACTCGCTACATGAACTATCAAATACAATTTCACCAAACATTTTTTCTAATTATCTGAAGATACTGGGCTGCTAAAATGAATTAATTTTATTCCCAACACGATGGTTTTATTAACATTTTGTCCAAAATTCTTAAAAAAACAAAACAAAAAAACTCGAACTTGCTACCTGCTTTTAGTATCAGTCGCCGTACGCCTATATCTAATTTAAACAAACAAATACTTCGGTAAAATGTGGACATGTATGTGTGGTTTAATTTATCCCGACAATGAATAAAAAAACTTAAAAATCCCTTTAGAGATCTGTTTTTGGTTGCACCGTATGGGATACTGTCTGAAAATCTTAATTGGTTTAACTTTTGTATTTTTATATTGAAATCTCTTTCCTCGTCCATTTTCAATGCTTTGGTAAAAATCCATTACACACAAACATCCAGCAATGCTACATAAATGTACGTATTATGATGATCGAGTATTATCGTGATTTTTATGAATACCCGTAAATAAATTGGTAAAGCTTTGTGTTTTAACACAGTTTTTTTTTCAAATTATTAATTAGTATTGTTCTCTCTCTTGTGAACAAAAAAGCTACTTATGCAATCAAACTGAGATTATTTAAATATATCCTGTAATTCCACAGAAGTTCTGTTTGATTTTTGACAAGTTGATTTACAACAGGACGATTTACACAGCTGTTTTAAATCATACCGAAAATTTCTTCCTATTAGGCAATAAACGATCACGTTCGTACCACTGTTGAGGAAAAACAGGAACATTGAAACTCTGTAAAATACTGGGGAACTCTTCGCCGTAAAGTAATCAAACTGTATATACAAATAGCCCACAGGCAATGTTGAAATACAATTAATGACACTGATGATGATTACTAAATATGTAAATGAAATTGAATTTGATTGTCTATTTTCATATTTATGGTAATTTGCCCCGGAAATCCTATGCTGACGTAATGTCAGTAGCGTTATTATGTTACTAAATATAATTATGACAGGCGGAAGTGCTACTACAAAGCAGCCGAAAGAAACATACACGTTCCATATCCTGAAAACGTTTGAGTAAGCGTTTGGTAAAACACAGATTGGACTGGTTCCATTGCTTACGCTTTTGTTACCGTCGCTCGGATCTAAATGTAGTTCATATTTTATTTCATACAACCAAAACGGCATAAAATCCAAAAGAAACGCCACAATGATTATCACGATGAAGACAGAAACAGCACGGTGCTTCGACCTGGAATGAATGAATTTCATTGGATAGCGTATACTCAGCGTTCTTTCAACAGTCACGCCCACAACCATCCATGACGACATCTGAACACCAAAATGGGCGCTAAAAGGGTAAAACTTGCACAGGAAGTTGCTGAAATTGTACAGAGCTATATCAGCAGGTGAAATTTCTAACATTACAACTATGCCACATATCACAAGACAGTATAAATCCGCGAGTGCTAATAACCGGAAATAGTGTGCGCATGACATCCCACTACAACGACTTCCGGTACTCCATATGATAAAAGACAGTATATTTCCAACGACGCCTAACACAATAATTATTCCGAGTGCAATAGAGCATATGTACGAAATTGTCATAGTGACATCCATGTTTTTTTTCCTCAGAAATTCGTGTATCTGGATTAAGTTAACTAGCAGAGAGAACAATTTGAACGTATCAATAATCTTTACTCAGGGTCTACTTAATATTTAGGCACTCTGACGATTCATGGTATATAGATACAGTATTTTTCAATAGCTATTTTACATGGTTAACTTACGTTTTCTTATTTCGAGTTTATAATATTATACAGTATTATTTCTTGAGTTCAATTCCCCATATACAAATTGATAGCATATATTGCACATATATTGTCATCAATTATAATCCATAAAATAGTCCTATTTCTTTAAATAGCCAGCTCGTTTTATTTTACCCACAAATTGTTTCCTTTTTCTTAACCCCTATGCTTAGTCCATGTGTGAATATCATACGCAATTAACGAACGTGAACTTTTGAAACCATTCATCGCATGTCACTTATCAGGTCAATTTCATGCCATTGATAATGTTTCATTTTAATTAACCTTGCCTCAAGTGGTGGTTAAAATATCAATTATTTTAAATCGTTTCTTTAACAACTTGTGCACTTTAAATGCATTTGTAACCTATGCATGTATTAGTTATATGCTATTCGATATTCCTGGCTTAAAGACGGCCATGATAAAGCATTTAAACTGTCCTGCGAATGAATACAAGCGAAACTTGTGTATGATAAGTGTGTGGATTAGTACAAATTACAATTTTATACTTCATGTATGATATGCATACTGTTGCTTAAACCATCCCGCTATTTAATAATTAATGTGAACACTTATTTGACAGCATAATTCAGTGCACTGTCATTAATTTATCACTATGTCACTATTTTACCGATCCGATCTGTGATATCAATCACCTCTTAAATGCAAATTTGATCGATTGAGTATCTAACGGTTTAAATTTATTGATACTCAATACCACTCCAGTTTCATTCAATCCACTCAAAATGTATGACTTTTTACATAAACAGTTTGTATTTCTAAATAGATAACACTCCTTTACTTTTATTTAAATCCATGTAATACTCATTTGCCGAAGATTTTCCTGTTTACACTGAAAACAAAAAAATAATAAAAAAAAAGCTGATCTAGATGCTCGCATTTATTTGTTATTACTGCGGAACTTTTTCTTTCTTTTATTATGGTCGATAAGACCATCGTTTATCAATGACATTTTTATCATACAATAACATTCCATAATTAAGATATTGTAGCACATTTCTTTACGCAGGGCGGTTTTTTTTCTAGAATCTCGGGCAGATTATGTATCACCTTGCTAAATATAGATAGGAGAGCCAATCAAATATTACGCGGACTGAAATACTTATTTGACTACATAGATACATGAATATAATAATAAATGTAGAAATCGGTATAGAGAACAAAGCAGGGGTTACAATTTTGTGTATATTCATCACTACACGAACCAGTTACAAAATAGTGACGTTGTCGACTTCAGTACATTAACATGTCTTGAAGAACGCGATACACGCCATCATAATTAACTGCTACATCATCATCATCATCATCATAATCATCATTCACTGCTACATCATTATAATCATCATCATCATCATGATCACCATTCACTGCTACATCATCATAATCATCATCATTATCATAATCACCATTCACTGCTACATCATCATAATCATCATTATTATCATCATCATCATTATCATCATCATCATTATCATTATCATCATCATTATCATCATCATTATCATCATCGCCACCATCACAACCACCACAATTATTGATATCATCATCTGCTACAGTCATAAGTATAAGAATCTTCATTCTAACATAAGTCATCAATATCGTAGTTGTCAATATAATTGTAATAATTATTATTTCTTTGCTTTTAGCTCGACCTTTTTTCTCGAAGGAGAAATTTTAGCTCTTGATACTGTCATGTCGTCTTCCAAAAACAAATATAGGCCATTAATTTATTATTGTCTTAATGAATCGTCTTCATACTCGGACACAACAACCCTTTGGATAAAATCTTCAAGTAGGTCAGGCTGCTTTTGACTTTGACTAATAAATGATCTAAACTTTAAAGGCCAATTTGGTTAATTTTTTATATTTCATCCTTGGGACAAGACAATACAGCTTCAATTAAACT